CCCTCGCACTGGGAGGGCGACGACGAGGGCGTCCGGAGAGGGAGGGGACGAAGAGGGCGAGACTGCGGCGACGAAGCGGGCGACAGAGCCGTGCTGCGCCTGAGGGCACGCACCTCCAACGACGACAGCAAACTTTTGGAGCAGGTCCTCCTCCTCCTCCTCTTCCTCCTCCTCCTCCTCCATCCTTCCTCTCCCTCCTCCTCTCTTCCTCCTCCTCCTCGGCAGGATCTACTCGCTCATGCCCTGAGCGGAAAATCAGGTGTGGTGCCACACGTTCGCCGTCATGAGCCTCATGACGCCGAACACGCGGAGCCAAACATGCTACTTCGCACCTCGTGCCCTTGGGCCAACTGTGAGCTCACCCGCCTCTCGGCGACCACCCGAATGATCCCGTCGTGAGGACTCGACGCGGGCGACGGCGGTGACGAGGAGGACGACGACGCGACGACGACGAGGGCAAGGGTAAGGGAGAGGCGGGGTGGGAAAGGGGGAGGAGCGTGAGGAGGAAGTAGAGGAGAAGCAGGAGGACAGAAGCAAGAGAAGAAGTAGGAGAAGGAAGTAGAGGAGGAGCAGGAGAAGAAGTAGGAGGATGAAGAGGAAGGGGATGAATACGATCAGACTCGACGTTTCTAAAAAAGGTAGCGTGTGACAAAAAATACTCTGGAGCCGAATCCGCCTCCGGCAACCCCACGCGATCCCCTGTAGCGGAGATCGGCGCAGACGAAAAGTAGAGAGGCGGGTGAGGAAAGTTGACTGAACGGTGGGACGGGCAACGGGGACGGAGATGGTGACGCTGAGCGCCAAAATGAGGAAGAGGAGAGGGGGAGGAGAAGCAGGAGCACGGATCCTGAGAAAGGGGGGCTCGTCGCAGTGGCCTCCTGCTCCCGCGCCCCCCCGTCCCTGTCCCACTCCCCAGCCTGTTTCTCCTTCTGCCTCCTCCTCTCCTCTCCCTCCTGTTTCTGTATGTCCTCGTTTGCCTTGCCTCCTCCGCACCTTCTCCTCCACCACAACCATCGCCACCCTCATCATCCTCAGCATCATCATCATCATCATCATCATCATCATCATCATCATCATCATCATCATCATCATCATCCTCATCATCAGCATCATCATCATCAGCATCATCGTAATCATCATCATCGACATCATCCTCATCATCAACATAATCATCATCAGCGACAGCATCATCATCATCATCATCAGCATCATCAGCATCAGCATCATCATCATCAGCATCATCAGCATCATCATCAGCATCATCATCAGCATCATCAGCATTATCAGCAGCAGCATCATCAGCATCATCATTCTCAGTATCATCATCATCATCATCATCATCATCATCATCATCATCATCATCATCATCATCTTCATCATCTTCATCATCACCATTGTCGTCATTCTCAGTGTCATCGTCAACGTCATCAGCAGCAGCATCGCCATCATCATCATCATCATAATCATCATCAGTTGCATCGTCATCATCATCATCAGCATCATCATCGTCGTCTTCATCAGCATCATCATCAGCAGCAGCGAAAGCAGCATCAGTAGCAGCAGCAGCACCATCAACAGCATCATAATCAGCATCATCACCATCACAATCATCATCAGCATCATTAGCATCAGCATCGTCATGGTCATCAGCATCAGCATCAACATCAACATCAGCACCATCACCACTTCCACCATCATCATCAGCAGCATCATCAGCATCATCACCATCATCATCATCAGCAGCAGCAGCATCGTCATCAGAATGATCATTGTCAGCATCGTCATCATCATCATCCTCACAATCATCCTCATCATCCTCATCATAATCCTCATCGTCATCATCATGAGCATATTCATGCTCAGCCTCATCCTCGTCCGAATTGATCCTCCTCCTCCTCTGCATCATCATCGGCATCATCGTCATCATCATTATCATCATTAGCAGCAGCATCATCATCAGCATGAGCATCGTCATCGTCATCAGCATCAGCATCATCACCATCAGCATCATCACCATCACCATCACCACCACCATCATCATCAGCAACATCAGCATCAGCATCAGCAGCAGCATCATCATCAGCAGCATCATGATCATAATCGTTTTCTTTAGTATCGTTACCAACACCACCACCATCATCGACGTGGTCATTCTCCCATTCTCATTTCATTATCCCGTCTCCTGATCCATCCTGCCTCCATATGTTCCTCCCTTTCCTTCCTTCCTCCATTCTGCCTCCCACCTCCTCGTTCCCTCGCTCCCACCCTCCTTCCCTCCTTCTCTTCTTCCTTCCTATCTTCCGTCCTTCCTTCCCCATCCTCCTCATCCTGCCACCTCACCCTTCTTCTCCTCAGGTCTGGTGCCTCCCTCCCTCCCTCACTCCTCCCTCCCTCCTGCCTCCTTCATCGTCCTCACTCCTGCCTCGCCCCTCCTTCCTGCCTCCTCCCCTTCCTTCGGCATGCCCTCGGGCACCTCCCCCTCGTCCTCCACCCGTCTTGGTCACAGGGCAGCCCAGCGGCGCGCGGCATCGCTCCTCCACTCCGCCTGCGGCACGGCGTCCCTGTTGAACTCGTGGGCGACCCTGGCGCGGCGGCTTCGCGCGCACGCGGGCCGTCGCGCTTGCACGGCCTCCTGTGCCCTTCTCCGGTGGCAACTCATGGAAGCCTCCCATACCATCTTGTCGGCTCTTGCGGATCGGCGATAGCCGACGCTAAACAACACTACATCGGCGCTAATCGACGCTAATCGACGCTAACGGACACTGCATCGGCGCTATCTCATCGACTTGCAGACGCTAAATCGACGCTGAAGACAGAAGTACGAAAGTACACAAGGCTCCTATGATTTGCTGCCGAACCATTCAAATAATGATCCAGTGTGTTTTCTCTCTGGCCTCTGGGAGCCCCTGGGGGCTGCCGGGAGCCTCTGGGAGCGGCCAGGAGGAGGAGGAGGAAGAGGAGGAGGAGGAGGAGAAGGAGGAGGAAATGGAGGGGGAGGGGGAGGGGGAGGGGGGAGGGGGAGGGAGGAGGAGGGAGGAGGAGGAGGAGGAAGGAGGAGGAGGAGGAGGAGGAGGAGGAGGAGGAGGAGGAGGAGTAGGAGGAGGAGGAGAGGGAGGAGGAGGGGGGGAGGGGTGAGGGGAGGGGAGGGGGAGGGGGAGGGGAGGAGGAGGAGGAGGAGGGAGGGGAGGAGGAGGAGGAGGAGGAGGAGAGAGGAGGAGTAGGAGGAGGAGGAGGAGGAGGGGGAGGGGGGGCGGAGGGGGGAGGGGGAGGGGGAGGGGGGAGGGGGAGGGGGAGGCCTCGGAAGCGGCGACGACGCCGGTCTGTGTCGCCGCCGTCGTCGGCGTCGTCCTCGCACGAGCCTGCCGCAGGCCGGCGCAGAGGGCCGCGTGGGCCTCGGGCCCGTGTGCCGCCAGCGCCCTGCCGCGAGGAGGGGGAGGGCCCCGAAGCCCGACGACGTCGGCCGCCAGAGCTGTGTGCCACGAGACGTGAGAGGCGCGTGCCATGAGGGGATGGACAGGCCTTCCTTTGGCAAAACGTGGTGTAGTGAAAACGACCTCGGGCCCACACCTGGCGGGCGCAAGCCTGGAAAATGACGGCCGCGGCGCTCTCTCGAGAACCGAAAACGGACAATTCATTAATCGACGTGTCAGGGTAGGAGGTCTATCCACCTCCGAGCCATAAGGGGCAAGGAAGACACTGCCGCTGGGGCCTTCGCCGGCGCCCCGGATAGGGCCATGAGATGTGTGCGAAGTGTGCCGGCATGGGCAGGGGAAACGCACGTGAGCACTGCCGCTGGGGCCTTCGGTGGCGCCCCGGATGGGGCCACGAAATGTGTGATGGGTGTGCCCGCATGGGCAGGGGAGACGCATGCGAGCACTGCCACTGTGGACTGCGGTGGAAATCTCTGTGGGGCCACGAAACGCGTGAGGGGTGCGCTGTCATGGGCGGGGGAGTCGCGTCGAGCTCATCATGGGGCTACGAACCGTGTGCGGAGGCCGGAGGCAGGAGTGGGAGGAGGGAGGAGCGGGAGGAGAAAGGAAGGAAAAAGGAGTACCACGAGGCTCTCTCTTCAAAACGAGGACCCAACACCGCGGGGTGGCTGGAAAAAAAATGTCCAACAGCTAGGGTGGCTCTCTCAGAGTCGAACGCTCGTATGGGACGCTCTCAACACTTGTGGCGAGAAGTCCCAAAACTGTGCAGCAACTCCACGGATGCAGGGAGGCTCCTTTCAGCTTAGACGTCCTCGGCAACGATGGCCACACTGCAGCTTCCCTAGGAAGAGAAAGCCACAGCGGATCAGGGGCAGCTCTGCGCAGAACCCGGGCGCTCGCTGGACATGCGGGGCCCAAAGGTATACACCACCACCATCTCCCTCATCCCCTCCCTCTCCCAGGAAAGAAGAGGGAAGATCAGGGTGGAGGAGCGAGGGGGAATGGAGGTGGTGGTGGTGTATATTATTGGGGCCCGCTGGACACTCCCTTGAACTCTTTGGTGCTGTGTCGTCGCCGTCCTGCTCCGCCACCGCGCCTGCAGGGGCTGCTCTGTTTCTGCCTCCTATTAAGGCCCCCCCCCTATGCACAGCGTGCCGCGTGCACACACCCCGCCCTCCCGAGGCGACGATCCCTTCAATTATCCCAGTGCGACCCTACCAAGGAGTTGGAGCTTTTAGGAATGCTATGCTATGCTATGTTATGCTATGCGATGCTCTGCTAAGCTATGCTATGCTATGCTTTGCTATGCTCTGCTATGCTGCGCTATGCTATGCTGCTATGCTGGGGTACGCTCGGCTGCGCTGTGTTATGCTGTGCTATGCTATGCTATGCTATGCTATGCTATGATGCACGATGTTACGGTATGCTATGATATGCTGCGCTATGCTATGCTGTATTTGCTATGCTAGGTTGCGCTGTCATATGCTAGGATATGATATGACATGCTATGCTGCGCTATGCTATGCTAGGCTATGCTATGGTATGACATGGTATGCTGCGCTGTGCTGCGCTATGCTATGATATGCTATGATATGGTATGCTGCGTTGTGTTATGCTGAGCAATGCTATGAAATGCTATGATATGCGGTGTTGCGCTATGTTATGCTGTGCTATGCTATGCTATGCTAGGCTAGGCGATGCTATGATGAGCTATGCTCTGCTATGGTTTGCTATGTGATGATATGCTTGGCTATGCTATGCTATGCTGTGCTAATGCTACGCTGCGCTATGCTGCGCTGCGCTAAGCTAAATTAAGTTAAGCTACGCTAAGCCAAGCTAAGCTAAGCTAAGCCAAGCTAAGATAAGCTAAGCTAAGCTACGCTAAGCTAAGACGATATAAGCTAAGCTAAGCTAAGCTAAGCTAAGCTAAGCTAAGCTAAGTTAGGCTAGGCAAAGCTAAGCTAAGCTATATAAGCTAATATGAGATCAGCTAAGCTAAGCTAAGGTTAGCTTAGCTAAGCTAAGCTGAGCTGGGTATACCCAGGGGGCGCAACTGGGGGAACTGCGGGGCGGATCCTGGGGGAACCGCCCCGGGCGGGCAACACTGCCCGGCCCTTTAAGCATACACAGTAAGAGCCCTTCTAGGCAAGGCCGAAGTAGCGAAAAAATCAGTTGGTCCGCGCCCCCAAGGCCACGATCACTTACTTCAAAAAACGAGGGACCCGCGACCCGAGCTCCCAAGACGGTCCGTGGTGGCAACCAAGAACACCAACATGGCCCAAGATGCGTCGAGTGCGGGCCAAGATGGCTCCAAGGCGGCCAAATATGGCCCCAAGAAGTCGAAAACAAGCTGGTAAGCTTAGGTATGTGTTACGCTTTAAGCGTTGCCATATCCCAGGCTTTGGCTCATATCGCATGAGCAAGAGAGCAAGACGAAGCATGGGATCTGGAGTAAAGGATAGGATGGGCATCGTCAATGGAAAAAGTATTTTCCGATCTCAGATACAAGTCGCGCGCCTCGGTGAGGCACAATCACATATTTGGCCGGGCCCGGCTTGAGCCAGGCACGGCAGCGGTACATGCTCGATTTATACCTCGCCTTTAACCTTCTCCGTTTAAAGTCGGAGGGGGAGGAGACGAGCAGGCACCGCACTTCTACATTACGCGGAAAAAAACAGTGCTAAGCAGCAGCGGCTGCCTACAAGGCAAGGGCGCGCGAGTAGCCTCGCTACCGGCGAGTTTCCTCGCTACTAGAGCGCACCTGCACGCGGGTTTCCCCGCTAGCTCGGGAGGCAGGGCCGTCCTGAGACGACCTGCCCGCCCTATGCGGCGTATGTTTCTTCAGCTCGTGCTTGAAGGATTGCTGGCCGGCCATTACTTGTAGGAGCAACGCGCGGTCAATGCTACCTTTGGTATGACCATCGGCAGTCATATCCCGCGTGTCACACCATTGAACGCTTTCAACGATTCCGCGCTCCATCATCTGGCGGATCCAGCTAATGTGCCCAAGCAGAGTACATTCTGTGGGCTTCTTCAGATCTTTGCTAGACAAAGACTTGAAGACAGACTCGGCATCAATAGTCAGAGTGACTTTGATACATAGACCACCCATTTCCAATATGTTCTTTAACTGTGTGGGGGTCAATGGTCCCGAGTGTAGCTCGTGGAGCGTTACAATGGTCGGGTAGCAGTCTTCCAAGTTGTGGGCTGCTGCCAGTGTTTCCGCAGAGTAGCTCGAACGCACCTGCAGTCGATGAGACTTGCAGTATGCGTCCACCAGGTGCACGACGGGTTTCCCCGCTTGCGTGTGGCCACGCCTCAGCAGGTTAGCCCCGCGGATACCATAGCCTTTGACTTCGTCGTCTTCATCTCCGTTGAGACGACGATAGCCAGAATCGCTATGCAGGTCAACTTCTCCTGTTGGAGTCATAGCTTGATACACGATCTTCTTCGGACCTGCCTGTAGTTTCCTGGTAACCGCGTTTAGTCGTCGTACCTGGATGTTTGTCGGTTCCTGGATACGTTGTAGTGAGACAACATAGACCATCAGCCATACCTGCGTGATCAACGCATAGGCTAGAGCGCCACGAAGACTGACGAACATATCAGAAATCGTCTTTGTCGCTTTGCTCTCAGGATCAGCTCCTGTGAGTTCTGGATGTGTGATAGGACGAAGCTGTTTGATGTATTCGTCCTGATCAAGAGTGACGCTCCCATCATCGGTCTTGTTGTACCGAACGGCACAGTTTGTGTATGTATGCTTGTTCAGTTTGCACTTTCCAAACGTATCTTCAACACACTTGACATACTTGTCAATAGCATCTTCCTTCCCCGGTCATATTGATGTCATCAACGTGTTTGGCTGTCAAGAGGTTTGGGCTCATCTCGAACTCTTCGTCGTATGAAGTAGGCTGTAGCCCAAAGCTCCTAGTGATGGACCTGAGCTTCAACGAGAATGCCCTGGGAGCATCCTTCGTGCCCGTCCCCGGCTTCAGACACCGAAGACAATGCTTTGATTCGTCATATGACTCAAAGCCTGGCAGTGCGCGAAGGACAGCTGCTGACCCAGGAGGTAGTGTGAAGCACACCACACGCTCTTTCTCGCCCGTTGCCGCGGCAAGCTCGCTATAGGTCAGTCCCTTCAAGAAAGC